GAGGACCCCCTAACAGATGGTGTAATAACGAAAACACCCTCTGTGTTACGACCACCCCTGAAGTATTCGTCATCTAAGAAACATACAAACTAACTAATTGATCAGTTTGGATCAAGAAGAGATTAATTAGTAACTAATTACAAGTCCTTATATTATATGATCCTTCTATTTTGACTCAACATCTTTCTATTGAAAACGGGTCAAAGATGGGTAGAGAGAATAAGGAAGCGCACCTTGGAAAATGCCGAAATAAACCGAGTGCCATGGTTTCATCAATGGTGCACTGTTGACTTGGTCTTCAGAAGAATGAACGATCCAGCTGCATTATGACCAACTTCTAAAGCAAGAGGGCAATATTCATTCCCCTGCAAAATGTTGAAATGTAGTTAGCGAGAAATTACAATTCATAATGGAAATTATATTTTACTACTAAGAGAAATATAAACACACTGAAAATCAGCTAATCAATTACGGTTCATTCATCAAAGCTCAGGCCTCGACTTCATCAATTACGTCAACAATCTTGCCTTCATCAGACATTTGAAAGTTACCTGAAATTATGAAAGCTTGAATTAGTAACCATAATATATATGAGTTACTCTATGAGCTAACTGTTAGACAAGACTTAATTTCAGGCAACCACCAGCATATTACATTACAATTTCGCAGAAATTTCTGACAATCAATGTTGTATGATTGAGGAAACAAAAACGGATCAACTAAACAATACAAATAGACAAACTATACATGATGATTGTAAGACAAAATAATCATATCAATCAGTTAAACATCATCTTAACAGTAATAGAAATAAACCATCATCTTAAAGAGTAACCAAGGTAAAACATCATCTTAGAGAGTAATTAGGATGAAACATCATCTTAATCTTAGAGAGTAATTAGGATGAAACATCATCTTAATCTTAGAGAGTAATCAAGGCAAATCATCATCTAAAAGAGCAATCCCCTGATAAAATATCCTCTTAATCTTAAAAGATAAATTTAAAGAGTAATTATGGCAACTTACTGAATAATCACGACAAAAAATCATATGAATACACCAAATCAAATTAGCATCTAACAAAAACTATGGTACAATTACATTGACAAGCTGATGAATGCTAACTGTCATATACTATTTGGATTAACCAACAAAAGGAACCATTGACAACATAAGAATACACAATGCTACTTCGAATTTAACAAACACCAATAGAAGGAGAATTAATTGAATTGAATGCAGCAGGAAATGATTGACCTTGACGAAGTTTCCGAGCTAGGTAAAAACATCCACAAACTGAAGAACCTTGTTACGTGTGCACACGCGCCGCCACAATTCCAGATCCACGACAGTAACAGATCCACAGTTGCCGGTCACATTAAACGGCGGCTTTCCGATCTTGTTACCCCCAATATATATATATACACTCTCCTCCTCCTTGAGTGGAAGTAGATTTGCTCAATTGATTTGATCAAACGAGCGAGCTTCATACCAAACAAAGTGTTTTTTTCTTAGTAATCATACTTAACAAATTTAATAATAATAACAATTTGATAAATTAGCATAAATTAAGGGGATTAATGAAATGAATAATGCTATACATGAAATTAGGGCCATATTCTCAAATATTGGGCAGTATCAGACAAGGTTCAAATTTATTGAAGCATAATAAAAATTATGAAATATACACTATATCATAAAATCATTACATATGAAAATCAGCATAGTATTTTTTAGGGAAAGTTAGGGAAACCCCTTATTTTGAAATTGCATTGAGATAAGGTTATTTTTTTTAAATAATTAGTGAAAACCCCTCCTTTTGTTTTTTCGCGATTTTCTAGATTAAACTGGATGTAAGTCGACAATGTTGTTTGCGGAATCGATTTATTAATCAACTATAGTTGATTAAACTATTCAAGTGTATATTGGACCTAAAAATAATAAATCAACTATAACAAAACATAGTTAATTTATTAATCGACTATAGTTGGTTACGTAAACTGAACCGCCTGGTAAGTAAGACCGAGGGCCACTGGTGTAATAAAAACCGCCGCTCTAATTTCCACATGCGTCCACCAGAAAACGCCTTCGGCATAGACGGGCGTGGGTTTGATCGATCGGATGGTTGATTTATTGAGGCAGTTGGTAGCATTGTGGTGGATGATGAAGTTGTAGGATTTGCAGGTGTAGACGATTGCAGCCCGAGATGGGCCTAGATATTTTCGCATTAAGTCCACTGGGCCAAGAGATTGTTACTACAATTTTGTACACGTTGATATATTTGTCCAAACTTAACCAAAACATTAAAGACTAAAAAAAAAGGCATATTCCAAATAAGGGATAGTACCCAAAATATTTTAAGGGATTTTTATGCAAAAGTCCCCAACCAAGCATGTTTATTATTCTAGGTATATGGGACATATCTCTTTCACCAATAAGCCCATCCCTTTAATATTTATTATAACTAAAGGAAACATTCATGTATATCCCAATATTACCCTCAATCATTTATACCCAATTCTTAATTGTAATCCAAATTAATCAATTTTGTCCATAAAAGTTCAATTTTGACCACAAAAATTCAATTTTGACTTTTTTTTGGAGTATAATTTAATATGCTCCAATTTCATCCTTAACTTAATTTAATCTCAATTTGACCCCAAATTTCACAAATTATTAAATTTTGACCCAAAATTTTTTTTTTTTTCAAAAAATTTTTTTTTTTCAAAAACTTTTTTTTGCCGCCGGATTCCGGCGTTGACCGGCGGTCAACGCCGGTCTCCGGCGTTGACTTTTTAAACTTCTATTTTTATCTTTAATATGGGTTTCTTCCGGATTTTTTTTCCGGATTCCGGCGTTGACTTGTGTT